GGGGAGCTATGTGCAGGGAAAGGGGGGCTGTGTGCAGGGAAAGGGGGGCTGTGTGCAGGGAAAGGGGAGCTGTGTGTGGGGAAGGGGAGCTGTGTGTGGGGAAGGGGCTGTGTGTGGGGAAGGGGAGCTGTGTGCTGGGCTGTGTGCAGGGAAAGGGGAGCTGTGTGCCAGGCTCTGGCACTAGGGATGCTGCTTCCCCCATCTCTGCCACAGTTGGAGCCCGCACGCCTGGGTTCCCCTCCCTGCCCTGCCCTGGGTCTCCTTTTCACCCATCACCTAATTGCAGAGGCTGTTTCCCCCAGAGGGTCCAAAAGCAGGAGCAGAACCTGTCTGTGGCTTCTGTCATGCTGGGTCTCACCAGCCCCTCTCTGTTCCCCCAGCCCGGAGAAGGAAGCGTTTAAGAAGCGGCAGAAACTGCAGCAGGACAATGGGGAGGAGACGGATGAGAACGAGGTGGAAGAGGTGAGTGGGCATTGTGCTGATGCTGTGGGGGTGTCTGGGTGTGGAGCACTGTCATTGCCACATGTGGCACAGGGACCAAGCCCAGCCTGGTCCTGAAGCAGGCTGGGAGGGTTGTTCTGCTGAGGACTCCGTGCTGGAGCTGGATACTCCCCAGAGTAGAATGAGGAGTTCATGTTTTTGGGGGCTTGGTTTCAATCAGCATAGGTGAAGAGAGGTCAGGCTGCTCAGCTGGGAAGGGATGGATGCAAGAATGGATGGGTCAAATTGCTGCTCCTCTCAACAGTATGTGCTGGGGGTCCAGAAATGGTGCTGCAGCCCCTGGGTATCCTGTGTGGGGCTGAGCCCCACCGGGGGCTGGGAGCATTGCTGTAGGGTGAGCTCAGGTGTGGAGGGGGAGAAGGACAGACCATCCTGCTGGCTGAGATTAGGCACTCATCCCTTAGGAGGAGGAAGAGCAGGATGAGAGCGGCTGTGAGGAGGAGGATGGGCGCGAGGATGAAGATGAGGACTCGGGCAGTGAAGAGAGCCTGGTGGACTCAGACTCGGATGCGGAGGAGAAGGGTAAAGTGGAGATCTGTGTGCAGCTGTGGGCATGGAGGGGCTCTTGCTGGTATCTGTGGCAGTGAGCTCTGCCCTTGGCGAGGCAGAGTTCACCAGAACACCCCAACCATGTCTGCTCTGCAGGGCTTGGAAGAGCCCCAGGGTTGCTGCAGTGCTCCTTGGGGTGCAGCAGTGTGGGTTCCCATCAGCTCCTCTGCTCTCTCCCTGTGCAGGGACTCTGTGGGGCCATGCAAGTGATGCTCCCCATGCCTCTCAGCATGACTTTCTCCTCTGCCTCCAGCCGTGAATTTCCAGGCCGACCTGGCGGATCTGACCTGTGAGATTGAGATCAAGCAGAAGCTGATTGATGAGCTGGAGAACAGCCAGAGGCGTTTGCAGACCCTCAAGCATCAGTATGAGGAGAAGCTGATCCTACTGCAGAACAAGATTCGAGATACACAGCTGGAGCGGGACCGGGTCCTGCAGAACCTCAGTGAGAACTGCCTCACCCATGGGCCCCATTCTGCCAGCCTCACAACCCACTTCCAGCTCAAACCCAGCTAAATCTAAGTCAAAGCATCCACCCCTTGCTCTGGTAGAGCTTTGTCATCCCCCTGCCCCTACCTGAATCCCTGGCACCCCCAAGGCTCTGCTTGTCTTGCCATGGGAGCAGCATCAGTCAGCAGCACAGTTCTGGACCCTGCTGGTGCTGGAGAAGGATGGTGAGGCAAAGCCTCTTCCAGCCTTGAGCACTGCTCCATGAGCTCTGGGGACCTCTGGGGAAACTGAGGGGCAAAAGTGGTGGGGCTGATCTCCAGGCTCAAGTAGGGCAGGGTCACCCATGTACATAGCTGTGGTCTCAGTCTGCAGCTCTGCTCCAGCCACTGTGTCCACTCTGTGCTGAGCTCTTCCAGCGGGTATTCCCAGACAGACCCCAGTTCAGATGGGCTGAGGGGGCTCTGATGGGACAGGGAGGGACACAGTGCTAGGGCACAGGAGGATGCCAGGGTGCGTGGTCATTGCGAGCCCTCTCCCCACCCACCAGGCACCATGGAGTGCTACACAGAGGAGAAAGCCAACAAGATCAAGGCAGACTATGAGAAGCGGCTGAAGGAGATGAACAGGGACCTGCAGAAGCTCCAGGCAGCCCAGAAGGAGCACGCTCGCCTGCTCAAGAACCAGTCCCGCTATGAGCGCGAGCTGCGGAAGCTGCAGGCAGAAGTGGCCGAGATGAAGAAGGCAAAGGTACCAGGATGTGCCGGGGCAGGGAGGAATCGCCTGGACGAGTCTGGCTCCCCCTCAGGGCAGTGTTTTCCACCCTGAGCACGTCTGCAGGGTGGGTGGGTGGCCCAGGGCAGTGGCACAGGCGGCCCCTCCGTTGCAGGTGGCTCTGATGAAGCAGATGCGGGAGGAGCAGCAGCGGCGGCGGCTGGCGGAGACCAAGAGGAACCGGGAGATCGCGCAGCTCAAGAAGGAGCAGCGCAGGCAGGAGGTGAGAGCCTGCCCTGCCACATGCTGCCAGTGGCCTGTGCAGGGGGCTGGGCTGGCTGGGGAGCTGGTGTTTGTCCTGCTCTGGCACGCCACATACCTCGAGCCAGTGAAGCTCAGTGAAGCCTCGCTGGAGCCCACACAGTCCCAGCAGAGCACGGCTGGATGAACGGCTCCCAAAGGCTTCCCACAGCTCCTGCTGTAGTTGTGGGGGATGCTGTGGCAGGGGGGAATGTGCAACCAGAGCCAGCTCCAGGCTGGGAGCCTGCTCGTTGTTAGAGTCAGGAGTGAGACTCTGCCAGAGGGAGCACTGGGACTGCAACCACTGCTGGGCTGGACCTCAGGGGTATCCTTTTCTTTCTCACTCATGCAGTTCCAGATCAGGGCTCTGGAATCTCAGAAGCGACAGCAGGAAATAGTGCTGCGGAGGAAAACCCAGGAGGTGAGGAAAGGGGGTTTCCTCCACATAGCCCCCAGCTCCTATAGAGGTCTGGGTCCCAGTGCTTGGCTCAGAGAATTCCCATCCTTCAAACAGGGCTGGCTTTGGGAATGGAGCTCCCTAAAGGAAGGGAGGGGTTTTATGGCTCAGGAACCAGGTGGGAAATGGCTGTAGGCAGCAGCAGAGTTCCCCATCCTGAGCAGCAGAGCCTGGTGGCAGGGCTGGGCTATGAGGAGGAGAGAGGGAACCCTGTGAGGCACCCCCTGGGCTTTGGGTCTATGGAGCCGCCGCTCTCAGGCCTGTGGGGACCTGGGGGCGATGCCAGGGGGTTTAGGCTGGGTGGGGCTGCCCAGCTGACACCCTGTTCTGCCCTCCCTCCGGGCAGGTGTCCGCACTGCGCCGCCTGGCCAAGCCCATGTCGGAGCGGGTGGCGGGCAGGATGAGCCAGAAGCCGGCCATGCTGGACTCGGGCGCAGAGGTCTCGGCCAGCACCACCTCCTCCGAGCCCGAGTCTGGCACTCGCTCCGTCTCCAGCATCGTGCGCCAGTGGAACAGGAAAATCAACAATTTTCTGGGAGACCCCTCGTCCTCCATTAATGGGGCTCGGCCTGCCAGGTCAGGACAGGGGCTGGGTGGTGGGGTGAGACATCCCAGGGACCCCCGTGCCTGGCTTTGGGCTGGTGCAGAGGTTGAAGGGTGGCTTCTTAGTGACCCATATGAAATAGTGACCTGTAATAAGCTGTGCTGGCAGAGTGTGGCTGTCACCTGGGCTTGAGCCCAAAGCTGGCCTTCCATGAGGATTAAATGCAGTGGCACAAACCCTGCTGAGCTCATTTCTTGTCCTGCTTTGCTAGGAGGAAATGGAAAAGCTGGGCAATGCAAAAACATCATGGACACATCCTCTGTTTCTGGCCAGACATCTTCCTGGGGCAAGCCTAGCTCTCCAGCACAGTGTGGCCATCTGCCCATATGCCTCTTCTTCCCTCTGGCTGTAGGAAGAAGTTCCCCAAGAAGGGGACAAGCCAGACCTTCAGCAAAGCTGCCCGCCTCAAGTGGCAGTCCCTGGAGCGGCGCATCTTCGACATTGTCATGCAGAGAATGACCATCATCAACCTAGAGGCAGACATGGAGAGGCTCATCAAGGTGGCTGTGGCACTGGGGACAGAGAGGGCTGGCAGGCAGGTGCAGGACAGGGAGATGGCCATGTGGACAGTGCTAATCCCCCTTCCCTTTTCCCCCAGAAACGTGAGGAGCTGTCACTGCTGCAGGAGGCGTTGCTGGGCAAGCGGGCAAAGCTGCAGGCAGAGAGCCCCAAGGAGCAGAAGGGTCTGCAAGAGCTGAACGAGGAGATTGAGGTGCTGGGGGCCAACATTGACTATATCAATGACAGCATTTCAGACTGCCAGGCCACCATCATGCAGATTGAGGAGACCAAGGTAGGACTGGGTCGGCTGGCAGGGAGAAAATGTGAGCATCCCTCTGTGGAAAGAGCAGCCAGCTGGGGCTGGGCTCTGGTCAGAGGACCCAGAGTCCTCTGAGCTGTCACTCTTGGTGGGGCTTCACCCACACAGTCACTTCTCATTAGGTGATTAATTATGGAGAGGAGTTCTGGCAGGTCCATGGGCACGCTGCCCTGGAATTGTAGGGAAGCTGTGGCCCCCATTTGTCCTTGGGGCTGATGGTCACTTGTCCCCATGGTTGCTTCATGTGCTGGAACCATCCCAGGAGGACTGGCTTTTTCCCAGCAGAAACCACGTAGGTTTTGTGTCCAGCTGTGATACTGGCCAGCTCCCAGCTCCCCTCAATGCCTGCAGCCTGAAATGGTGGCTGGGTGCTGTCCCTGGCTTGTCCCCAGCTGTCACCTGGATTAGCAGGGAAGAAGGGCTGCTGTTAATCCACACTAGGTTGTGGATTTGGGTGAGCCTGGTGTCTGCTCAGTGCCTAGTTTTGTGAACCAGAATTCCTGTAGCAGTGCATAAGCCCTTCAGCCGTGGGCAGTCCCATGGCTGGATGTCCCCAGTAGCCACTGGGCAGACTGGGGAGGGCGAGGTTGGACGGGGCAGTGCTTGCAGGGTGATGGAAGTGCTGAGACCCCTCCACCCATCCCACATCCAGCAGCAAAGCTACCCTGCTGCATCCAGCACTTGTCTCTCCACGTTTCAGGAGGAGCTGGACTCCACAGACACCTCGGTGGTGATCAGCTCCTGCTCCCTGGCCGAAGCCCGGCTGCTGCTGGACAATTTCCTGAAAGCGTCCATCGACAAGGTGTGGGGCCAGGCTGGGCTGGGCATGTGTGACAGGGCTTCCTCTGGGTGCCAGGGTGGGCACCTGGTGGCAAGGACGTGTGGCACCTGTCTGAGTGGCAGCATTTCTGCCCCAGGGGCTGCAGGTGGCCCAGAAGGAGGCCCAGATCCGCCTGCTGGAGGGGCGCCTGCGGCAGTCGGACGTGGCCAGCTCCTCGCAGAACCACGCTCTGCTGGACGCCCTGCGCGAGAAGGCAGAGTCACACCCCGAGCTGCAGGCCCTGATCCACAACGTCCAGCAAGGTGAGGCAGGAGCACCTTCAGGCCAGGTGTGGCCTGTGCCTGTGCCCACCTGGACTGGTGCAGAAAGCACCTGGGGGTGCTGTGGCTGGGACCCCGCCCCAAGGGCCGTGTCGGGTGGGAGCTCCTGCCCTGGCCGTGGGTAACGGGGCCCGGGTGACCCCCACACCTTCCTGGGCTGCCCCCTCTGCCGCAGGGCTCGGATGGGGCTGGGGACAGTGGGGTCCCCCCTGCTGATGCACTGTCTCCCTCTGACAGAGAATGGCTACACCAGCACGGACGAGGAAGTCTCAGAGTTCAGCCTGGCCTCAGATGGGAGGTGAGCACCTAGCCTGAGGTGGCTGGGGCACAATGCCTGATGCCACTCATGGATGAACAAAGCCCCATTTTCAGTGGTGCCTGGCCCTTGGTGGGGGGACAGGGTCTCTTGGACACGAGCAGGGAGTGAAGGCTTGGTCATTCCTTAGAGAAAGGGTGCTGGGGAGCAGAGGGTGACCCAAGGAGTCTGGTGGACCAGTGGCACCAGCTTCCTGAAGATCCATATTTACTCCTTTCTCCTTGCAGCATCTCTCAGTCCTTCACCATGAAGGGCTCAGCAAGCCAGGATGATTTCAAATTCAAGGTAAGTTGGCCTTTTTGTGTGGCCTGGTCACAGAGACTGGGAGGAGGAAGGAGGGATGTTCAGTGATGCTTCAGGCCTCTACTCTGCAGTCTGAACCTTGGGGAACCAGGCTTGGCATAAGGTGGGATGGCTGCTCCCTGCATGGGCAGAGCCAAGGTCTCCTGGTCCTGTCCTGAAGCACCAGAGGCTTGGGAAACACCCACCAGACCAGCCAGTACCTTCCAAATCTGAGTGGCACCGAGGATGTCCCGTGCAGGGCAGAGGTGGAGGGAACAGCAGCAGTACAGGCTGTTTGCCTGGAGAGCTGGCTGGGATGGACATCCAGTGGGATGTGGGGAAGCTGGTTTGTGGCCAGAGAGCACAAAGCCTTGCAGCCCACAGCGCTGGCTGCTCGTGCTGCCTGCCCTTCAGCCCCCTGCCCTGCTCTAGGGAGAGCCCAAGCTTTCGGGGCAGATGAAGGCGGTGTCAGCCGAGTGTCTGGGACCCACGCTGGACGTCTCCACCAAGAACATCACCAAGTCCTTGGCATCCCTCATGGAGATCAAAGAGGACAGGATTGGCTTCTCCATCCGAGACCCCTACTACAAGGAGAAGGTGTCACGCACCATCAGCCTGCCCACGCGAGGAAGCACCTTGTGAGCACAGGGTCACACTGTCAGGGCACTGGGCAGCTCGTGGGTCTGGGGAAAGCTGTGCCTGGCCTGTGGGGCTGCAGAGGGGTGAGGGGAGCCCAGTCCTGCATCTGTCCATGCTTGGCTACAGCATGGCTACAGCTATAGCATCAATTTCCTCAGCAGGGCTTGGAGAGCGTGTAGGAGTATGTTGGTATCCTTTGCAGATGGAGAGGAGGATACTTCAGGAGCAGGGAAAAAAGGGGGGTGCGAGGGTCCCCAGCTCCCTGCTCTGGGTTGTCAGCCTTTTGGAAGGTGTCTTGGGTTGCCAAAAGCCTCTGCACTTGTGGGCTGCCTCAAGAGTGTGACTCCAGCCCAATCTCGTTTGCTCTTTGGGGGGAGGACACGGGTGTTGGCTGTGGAGGGGTGCAGGGACAGGCACCCACTCTGCTTTGTTCACTTGCTTCAGTCCCAGGCAGTCCCGGGGCTCGGACACGTCCCCTCTGACAAGGAGGAAATCCTATGACCGTGGGCAGCCTGCCAGGTGAGCTCGGGACAAACAGTGACACGGGCAGGGGAGGCTGCGTGTCTCAGAGCAGTGTGGAAGGGTTCTTCCTGGGCCCTGGTGTGCCAGCCAGGTGCCAGGTGAGCAGTTCCCAAGTCATGTGTCCCTCTGATCCTCTTGGCTCAGGCCTGCAGACATTGGCTTCACACCACCCTCGTCCCCACCCACCCGTCCGCGCAATGACCGCAACGTCTTCTCCCGTCTCACGAGCACCCAGAGCCAGGGATCTGCCTTGGACAAGTAAGTCCTGCTGGGGTGAGAGTGTCTGAGTGAGGGGACCCAGACCCAGGTAGCACATGGCATGTACCAGGTCCTGTGGGGGTATTTAGGAACCCCAGGGCTTGGGTTGGCTCCAGCCAGTGTCCTGTCACCACTTTGCCTCCTGCTCCTCCCTGTGATGGAGCTGCCAGGCCAGCGCTGTGCTCCTGCCCACTGTGCCCTCTGAGCCCACAGCCCTGGCCTCAGACAGGGTGGTGCCAGACTTGGACCCCTGGAAAGGTGAGGGGGCAGGGTGGGAGGAGATGAGGGCTCCAAGGAAGCTGATGGACTGGTATCCACCCACAAAAGCTGCTCCAGGCTCTCCTGGCTGCAGGGCTGGTGCTGCTCTGGGCTCGGGTGTTGCTAGCAGCGCTGGTGTTCCCTGATGGAGACCTGCTGTCTGATCCTCACGTGCCCTCCTGCTCTTCTGCTCTGCCCTGGTTCTCCATGTGTGCTTCTCCTTCTCCCTCCCTCCACTCCTCCTCTCTGTCCTACACTGCCTTGGATGCAATAACAATCTTCCACCTCTGACTCCACTGCTGCCTTCTCTAGTCTGGGTTTTCTCTCCCATAATCCTGCTAATTTTCTGCCCCTAGGTCTGATGACAGCGATTCCTCTGTCTCGGAGGTGCTGAGGTATAGACAACTTTCTATTTATTATCCCTTTCTCCGCTCCTCCTTCTCTCTGTCGGATGCCTGCTCTCCCTGTCCCTGCATGGTCAGCCTGCAGCTTGCTGCTCTACCCCCTCCCAGCCTGTGTGTCTGTCCCCTCCTGGCATGCCACCTCTGGTGCCTGATGCTGTCCCTCAGCTGCAAGTCCAAACTGTTCCTGCTTGGATTGGTCCTTGCTGCCTGGTGCTGGGCTCACCTGGGTGCTGCAGGTTTGGGTTGGCAGCATGTTCTCCTCCGTCTCTGATGGTTTCTCACCAGCATGAGGCCACCACGTCCCCCCCCTCCCCAGCTCTCCAGCAGGATGGTGAGGTGATGGGGAAAGGTGCTTGCTTTGTGCAAGCTTCTTCCAGGCACTTCTCTCAGGTTCACCTTGTGCCTGGTCGTGCTTCCCTGGTGCTGAGTTGGAAAAGGTCAGTCTGTTCCCTAAAGAAATCGAGTCAGGTTGTGGTGCAGAGTCAGCCTTGGAGTTAAGGTTCTCCTGGGCTTCTCTCCCTGCATCCACCTGACCAGAGAGGTTTCCCAGAACAAGGGACACATTTCCCCCGTCCTTTAGGAACATTGCAGCCTTCCTGTGCCTAAAGGGGGTTCTAACAAAGAGGGAGAGCAACTTTCTACATGGCCAAATAGTGACAGGACAAGGGGGAACAGTTCAGAACTGCAAGAGGACTAGATGTTAGGGAGAAATTCTTCCCTGTGAGGATGGTGAGGCTCTGACACAGGTTTTCCAGAGAAGCTGTGGGTGCCCCATCCCTGGAAGTGTCCAAGGCCAGGTTGAATGGGGCTTGGAGCAACCTGGGCTAGTGGAAGGTGTCCCTGCCATGGCAGGGGGTGGAAAGAGGTGGTGTCTGAAGTCCCTCCCAACCCAAACCATTCCATGATTCTGTGACCAGCAGTCCAGCACCCAGGTGTCCTCACTCTGCCTGTGCCCTGAGCTCCTGCAGCCCCATCTCTGGGGAGGTGACAGCACACCAGTCTGAGCTGGGTCACCCTGGGCAGTTTGTAGTCAGGCAGCCACTCAAAGTCCATGGAGGACACCTCACCCTGCAGAGCAGGGATTTCCCCTTGGGTTCAGTGTTGCTTTGAGACTGGTGGAAGCACTGGGGTTGAGGGGAAGGCTGTTGGCTTGGCATTGCTAAGTGAAGAGCTGAGGAACATCATGTGCATGTGATTTCCAAACCCAAATTAATGAGCTTGTGCTTGTCCTCACCACTAATGCAAACCTTGCCCTTCCCTAGCCCCATGCATCAGTCTCCCTGTCTGTAAGAAGAAACCAGCACAGGCTGGGGTCTTGTGGCTGTGCTTGGTGGGCAGGCACAGCGGGGCCTGCCAGGGGTCACACATGGGAGGGTGAGGCTGGTGGTCCTCAGCACCCTGAGCATGTCTGAAGGGGAGGGATTGGCAGATGATGATGTGTCCCCCAGGACAGACAGTAGTGTCCCTTGGAAGCTGGACTGGCAGGGGAAGATGCTCTCCTGCCCACAGCCAGCAGTGGGTGTAGGAACAGCCATTCCAACAGGGATGTGGGGTACAGGTGCTGGTGCTGCCCTTTGTCACCCTTGTTATGTGTGTAAAGCAGCGAGGCCCTGGCTCCAAACGTCACCAGCCAAAGGGTGACAGCCTCCAAGGGACAGGGGTGCTGATACTGGTACTCCAAATCATTATCCCAGCAGAGCTTCAGCTTCAGGCTGGACAGGGCACAAAATGGACCTCAGGGCCAACGAGCTGAGTCTCCTGAACTGCCCTGTCTGTGCTGCTGAGGCATGAGATGTTTAGGGGGAGAGCAGAGGTCACTGGGCAGCCTCCCCCTTTCCCTGTCTTGTTGCTGGGGCAGAGGTTGGCAGGGGCTGCCCACGGGGAGATTCCTGGGGTTTCACAGAGACCTCAGACACGTTCAGGTGGAGGAGCCTGTCTCACTGCTGGGCAGTGGAAGATGCTCGGTGTGAGGCAGCTCATGTTCTTCCATGCCCTGGGACTGTGGGCACGGCGCCTCTCCAGCCCTGCACTGTACCTGTTCTCTCTCTCCTGTGAAGGGGCATCATCAACCCGGTGGGTGGCACCAAGAATGCCAGGACAGCCCCACTGCAGTGTGTCTCGGTGGCAGAGGGACACACCAAGCCTGTGCTCTGCCTGGATGCCACCGATGAGCTGCTCTTCACTGGCTCCAAAGGTGGGTGATGGCCACCGGGGGCAGGGAGGATGGAGATGCCGTGGGAGCAGGTTGGCACTGGGAACATGGGAAGCGTTGGGCATTCCAGGGGTGGCCCCTTGTCCTTGAGCCCTGCCCTGCCCCTGTGCTGGGGCCGGCTGGCTCCTTTCCTCTGGCCCTGTGGCTGGGGGGAGATGCTCAGAAGGCATATGGTCCCCAGGCCACCATGCCCTCGGAGGAGACACCCCCGACACTCTTGGGCATGTTCTTCCTCCCACAGACCGGAGCTGCAAAATGTGGAACCTGGTGACAGGCCAGGAAATCGCTTCTCTCAAGGGTCACCCCAACAATGTGGTTTCCATCAAGTACTGCAGCCACACGGGGCTGGTGTTCACCGTGTCCACGTCGTACATCAAAGTGTGGGACATCCGCGACTCGGCCCGCTGCATCCGCACCCTCACGTACGTGCAGCTTTGGGGGACCCAGGGCACTCTGGGCGTCTCTGGCTTTGCAGAAACCATTTCCAGAACCTACAGGGGCTGAGGACATGACCAGATACCAGCTCCCTTAGTGCCAGTTTGCAGTGCTGCTTCCTTAGGGAGGTTCAGGAACAGGAGGGAACTCATGGGAACCTCCTGCAGCAAAGACTCAGGGTCATAAAATCATAGAATATGCTGAGTTGGAAGGGACCCATCAGGATCATCAAGTCCACCTCCTTGCCCTGCACAGACACCCCAACAATCCCACCCAGTGTCTGGGAGCATTGTCCAAACAGTTCTTGAACTCAGACAGGCTCAGAGCTGTGCCCATTCCCTGGGGAGCCTGTTCAGTGTCCTAGCACCCTCTGGGGGAAGAACCTTTTTCTGATATCCAGCCTAAATGTCTCCCAGCTCAGCTCCAGCCATTCCTGTGAGTCCTGTCACTTGTCATGAGAGGGAACACATCAGTACCTGGCCCTCTGCTGCCCCTCATGAGGACGTTGAAGACCCCAGTGAGTCTCCCCTCAATCTCCTCTAGGCTGAACAAACTGAGTGACCTCAGCTGCCCCTCAGGAGGCTCCAGACCTTTCACCATTCTCATGGCCCTCCTCATGAGACTTCCCCTCCACACCTTTCACCATTCTCATGGCCCTCCTCATGAGACTTCCCCTCCAGACCTTTCACCATTCTCATGGCCCTCTTTAGGATGTTCTCCAATGGCTTCATGTCCTTTTTGTATTGTGATTCCCAAAACTGCACCAAAGACCTGAGGTGAAGCTGCCCCAGTGCAGAGCAGAGCACTGCTGTGCCTGGTGTGTCCCAGGACATGGATGTCCCTCCTGGCTGGGAGGGCACTGCTGACTCCCATTCACCTTTCCTTTGACCAGGATCCCCAGATCCCTTCCCACAGCTGCTTTCCAGCCTCTGTTCCCTACTGTACACACACAGCCAGGGTTGCTGTGCCCCAGGTACAGCACTTGCCCTTTTTTAAGGGCCAGGAGCTTTGAAGAGATTTTGCAGCTGTGCTGGGGGTGGCCAGGAGAGCTGGCAGCTCCAGCAGGGGGGCCCAGCCCCAAACAGCTTAGTGGCTGGGTAAGTCACAGGCTCTTCAGTGGGAAACTTGGGTCTCTGTGAGGAGTCTGAGGACCAGAAAGGAGCGTGGAACAGACTGTAGCTGTGGCTGCCAGGCTGGAGGAGGACTCAAAGGTTAGAACAGTATGGTAGGTCAGAGTTACCCACTTGCTCAGGCACCGATCTCCTTTCTCCATCCAGCCTCAGCCCATCTGCCTTGGCCTGAGGGTGCTTCTGTCTTGGTCCAGAGGCCAAGTGCTTCCCTGTGCTGGATGCCAGCACCCACCAGCCCTTCCTGTGGGGAGCAGAGAGGAACGGGAGGAGAGCAGAGGGGCCCTCAGCTGGCAACCAGGGCAGGATGCTCTGGCCATGCACAGACCCTGCATCCCTGGCTGCCTTTGCAGGCTGGGCCCTGCCCCATGGGACAAAGCTCTTGTTGATGCCACTGTGGCCAGAAGGACAGGGGATACTTCCAGGGCCTTTCCTGACCCAGCTGTGCCAGCCTGGAGCCAGCAGCCCCCTGTGGCTCCTCAGTGCCTCTGCTCTCATCCTTCCTCTTTGAACTCTCCTTCCTTTAGGTCTTCTGGGCAGGTGATGTCTGGGGATGCGTGTGCTGGGACCACCACCCGCACCGTCACCAGCGTGCAGGGGGAGCACCAGATCAACCAGATCGCTCTCAACCCCTCGGGCACCGCGCTCTACGCCGCTGCCGGCAACTCCGTCCGCGTCTGGGAGCTGAGCAGGTCAGCGGGCTGCTGGCCTGGCCAGCACATCCTGGGGGTGCCAGGTGGGCACCAGCTGCCCAGAGCGGCCTGAAATGATCCCCCTGGGGAAAATGAAAGCCTTTTTCACAGTGGAAGTTGCCTGGAATTAGGATTTTCAGGACTTCTTCCTGATCCCAGGGGTGATGAGCTGCGTGGGGTGGGGGGTTTGTGCTCTGGGCAGAGCTGAGCAGAAGGGAAAAGACAAGTGGGATGAGCAGGGCCCTGGTTTTGCCTTTTCCTCCTGCCTGCCCAGTGGGCACTGGGCTCTGAACCCTGTGTTACAGCCTGGGCTCTGCAGCCAGATGTTGGCACACTGAGGCTGTGCAGCCAGATGTGGGCACACTCCAGCTGTGCAGCCAGATGTGGGCACACCCCAAGGCTGTGCAGCCAGATGTTGGCACACTCCAGCTGTGCAGCCAGATGTGGGCACACTCCAGCTGTGCAGCCAGATGTTGCACAGTCCAAGGCTGTGCAGCCAGATGGTGGCACACTCTGAAGCTGTGCAGCCAGATGTTGTCACACTCCAGCTGTGCAGCCAGATGTTGCACAGTCCAAGGCTGTACAGCCAGACGTGGGCACACTCCAGCTGTGTAGCCAGATGTTGGCACACTTCGAGGCTGTACAGCCAGATGTTGGCACACTCCAGCTATGTAGCCAGATGTTGCACACTCCAAGGCTGCCTCCCTCCCCTGGGATCACAGGGAAAGGGGCTCCCTGCCCACGCTGCCCCAGAGGGAACAGCCCCACCTGGGGCACTCCAGGGCTGGGGCAGGCTCTGCAGGGGAGGGCCCTTTGGGTGAGCCCCAGCACGCAGGAGGGGCTGACCTGTGCCCTTGCACGCAGGCTGCAGCCCGTGGGGAAGCTGAGTGGCCACATCGGGCCTGTGATGTGTCTCACAGTGAACCAGACGGCGAGCAACCACGACCTGGTGGTCACAGGCTCCAAAGATCACTACGTCAAGGTACTCTCCTCCTTGGGGAGCAGCACCCGGGCCCTGTAGGGACATCCAGATGTTGGCAGCCCCTCAGTCTTCTCTCCTCCTGAAAGCTGAGCCCAGGTTCTGTTTTCACCTCTGCATGTGAGGTTTTCACTTGTTTCCTCTTCCCAAATCTTGCCTTTTGCTCAGCCTATAATACACCTTTGGAGAAGAAGTAGCATTTCTCTCTGGCTGAGATTTGCATGTGAGGGCTGACCCAGATGAGCAGCTCACCCTGTTCTGCTCAATAATCTCCCCTGATAAAGATGCCTTGTGCCTGCTCCATCACAGCTCCAGCACAGCAGGAGCCCATCCCTCCCTTTCAGGTTTTAGAAGGTTGAATTAGGGCTGTCACCAGGGAAGTGAGGAAGGGTGGTGATATGGTGAGTGAGACAGGATCCCACTCAGCTGTCAGCCTGGCTCCTGAGGAGTGTGAGTGTAAAATGCAGCAGAGTGGGGCTGTCCCTGGTGGCAGATCTCAGCTTGTGGCAGGACCCAGAGCCCCAAAAAGCCTCCAGCAGCCAATGCTCAGTCCTGTTTCCAGCATCACTCCCGGTGCCCTGAGCCTAGAACACAGAGGGTGGTGGCCAAACTCCCCGGGAGAGGGCCAGCTCTGTCCCCAGTGCCATCTGTGGTGTGATGCCTGCTGCTCTTCCCCAGGTGTTTGAGATCACAGAGGGCATGGTGGGCAATATTGGCCCCACTCACAACTTCGAGCCCCCTCACTACGACGGCATTGAGTGCCTGGCCATCCAGGGAGATGTCCTCTTCAGCGGCTCCAGGGACAACGGCATAAAGAAGTGGGATCTGGAGCAGCAGGAACTTATCCAGGTCTGGAGGGGAGCAGAGCACAGGTCCTGCAGTGACACAGGGCAGAGGGGGGTTTGCTGCTGGGGCCTGGGGGGTTGTCCAGGAACAACAGTGTCCTGTGTGGAGCTCACCAGGGAGGGCACTCCCAGTCCTGGGCTGTGTGTGCGTGAGGATGAGCTGTGTCCCCATCATTTGTCCAGCAGGGTGCTTGAGGTCCCCACCCTCCTTCAGACAGGCTGTGGCACCAGTGGCAGTGTGGGGGCTCGTGTTCCACCCTGAATTCTGGGTTGTCTCCTGCCCAAGGGGCTCCTAGCTGGGCATCCCCAGTTCCACGGTCCCAGGGTGTCAGTGAGGACCCAGCCGCCCAGGATGGGTGTGTGAGGCTGCCCATGGTGCTGCAGCTGAGGCTGGCTGTGACCTCTGCTCTGTGCCTGTGCCTACAGCAAATCCCCAATGCCCACAAAGACTGGGTCTGTGCCCTGGCCTTCATCCCCGGGCGCCCCATGGTGCTGAGCGCCTGCCGAGGCGGCGTCATCAAGGTCTGGAACGTGGACACCTTCACCCCAGTCGGGGAGATCAAGGGGCACGACAGCCCCATCAACGCCATCTGCACCAACTCCAAGCACATCTTCACTGCCTCCAGGTGAGCCTTGGGCCTTCTGCCCCCATGGCCCCTGGGAAGGGGAGACCCCGGGTTTGAGCCGCCACCCCTGGGCCTGGGTGGGTGTGTGCGGGGAGCGGGGAGGGAATCGCAGCTTTTTAGTCCCTCCTTCGTCTCCTTTTGCCCCCTGTAGCCTGCCCATGGCAGGGCCTGCCCACTGCAGTGCCAAGAGCTGTCCCTGGCCATCCCCTGCCCACGCTCTGGTGATGCCCTGGGTTACTCCCCTCTCCCTCGGGGCTGGGCATTGTCTGCTGCTCTCGGGGAGCTCTTCAGCAGCAAGACTCTGATATCCTCTTTTCGACCCTGTCCCTTTTCTCCCTTCCTTTTTCTCTGTCTCTCTCTGCCTCTCCTTCTCCCCACCTCCCATCTGTGCCACAGCGACTGCCGGGTAAAGTTATGGAATTACGTGCCTGGGCTCACCCCTTGCCTTCCACGACGCGTCCTTGCCATAAAGGGCCGTGCTACTAGTCTGCCTTGACCCTCCTGCTCTTTGACTCTCTTGCTCATATGCTCTTCTTCCGTCTCTCCTTCCCTTTTCCCTCCATCTCTCCCTCCCTGTCCCTCTCACTGTTGCTTTTGCTCCTCTCTCTTCCCCCCCCCCCCCCCACCTCTTTTTCTCTGGTCTGAGCTGCTTCTTCACGGTATGAAACTATTCTGAGTTTTTCCCCACTTGATAAGTCTTTGTTAGAATGGACTCGCCCCCTTGTCCCAGTCATAGCCCTGCCTTGGTTTCACTTGCTTTTTGGTTTTTTTTCCTCACCAAGCGCCCACATCTACTTTGGCAACTCTGTGGGAAGCCATGGCCTGCCCGTGCCTTTGCATGGATAGTGGGTTGGGAGTCAGCAGCCACCCCCAAATCAGCCCCAGGAGCAAAGCAGCTCCCTGGGTGTCACTGCTGGGCCCTAGCTGGAGCTCATTCGAGGTGGGAAGGAGTCCTGGAGTGGGGTCAGCCCTGGAGGTCACCATTTCCCTTTGTCCCCAGCTGCTGCCAGTGGGGTGAGCTGGAGGCTGAGCCCCACTGGGCCTGCCTTCTCCCCAAAGTGCATCAGACAAGCTCCTGCCAGGGGAAAAGGGCCTGGAAGCTCGGGGGGCTGCATGCTGCCGTGGTGGGGGACGGGGGATGGTGCCCCTGGGGTCCTGCCCCGACCCCTGGGTCATGCTGTCCCTCTCACCTTTGTTCCTCAGCGACTTGACAGTGAAGCTCTGGAGTGGGAGGAGGTTGCCTGCGGGGTCAAACTAGGAACTGCAGAAAGACTGGAAGGCGTGGGGCAGGGTGAAGGTCAGGGTGCCTCCCCCTGCTATCAGGACTCGGTCATCTGCAGGAGCTCAGCCCAGGACAGGGATTTCTCTGTGCCTGACCCAACGGGGTGGACAATGCTGCACCTGGTCCTTTGAACGCTGTCAGCTCCTGTGAGGGAGCAGCTCTGTGGGGCACCAGCAGCTCCACCTGCCCTCCAGCTGAGCTTTCTCCATGGTTCTCCAGTGAACAGGAAATGTTTCGTCTCTCCTCTCACCCATCCTGCTGTAAGGACTTGTGGGGGTCAGAGATCCCTGATTCCTTCTCAGAGACACCCAGTTCCCTCCTGCCACTGTGGGCTCACGTGGCCTCTGCCGTGCTGTGCTGCTCCTGGGCTGGTTCCTGCAGGAGTCTGTCTCCACTCCACGAGGACATTTGGTGTCTGCTGGCCAGGACCACAACACAGAGGGTGCTTCTCTGGAGCCATTGCTTGTGACACCTCAGCTGTGGGGACCACAGAGGGATTTCCTGGTACTCCTAGCCTTCCCTGTCCTCTGTGGTTAGAGGGGTGCACCTCTGAGCTCCTTTGCCATGTTCCCTCTCGTGAGGCACGGCAAGCCTGGGAAGATCTCCATCGGGCAACTTCCAGACAGACCTGCTGCAGTTCCCTTTGACATTCTCCAAACCCCAGAAACTCAACTGCCCCATGGCTCTGGGCTCTTCCCCACCTGCCCAGCCTGCTCTGAACATCGTGATCCCCATCAGGGGTTTGTGGTGGGTTTCAGCAGCAAGTTAACCTCCTTGAGATGGAGAAATGAACCAAGAATGGAGGTTACAGGGCAAAAAAGCCAAGGCTGTATTTGTCACCCCACTGCTGTGGCTCTGTCCTTCCCTGAGGTTCTGTCCCCAGACCTCTGCCTGGACTGGAGCTTGCCCAGGTTGGGCCTGCTGGCCTGCATGGATCCCAGGATGGAGAGGACCCAGCAGGAGCAGAGGGGCAGGGGCTGCACACCTGACCTTGCACACGCCCCCTGATTCCCCCTGTGCTCGAAGGACAATCCTGCAGTGGGTGATCTTGCACAATCTCATCTCCTTGAGGGTCTGGGGGCTCCACCCAGGAGTGTTTCCCCAAGGATGAACATTCTCTAGGCTCTTTCCTGTCTCTCCTGTTCAAGGGGGGCTGGTAAGGCCCTGGTCTCACACTGGAGCTTCCCTCCATCTCTCCTGTGGCCCACTGGACCATCCCCTGCTCTGTTCTGCCCCGGGCCACCCAGGGCTCTTGTGGGATGGCCAAGGAGACCCCAGGAGCGTGTTCTTGCCTCACACGCTCTCCTGTCCTCTTTGTCACAGAAGAAGCAGCACTTGAACTCAAATTTAAGGATTTCTCCATGTGATCCCATGGATCTTGAGCACTGAACTGGGATCTTGGAGGCCAGGGGCTCCAGGACCTGCCCCATAAAGCACAGACCATTTCCCCTCTGCTCTCCAACCACGGTGATACCTTGACAAGCCCCAGGTCATCTGCCACCAGCCCTTGTTCCAAGTATTCTGGCTGGAGTGAGGGGATTCCTCTGCATCATGAAAGAAGGAGTATCTTTATTGATTTGGTGGGGGAGGGGGTTGCCTTTTTTGGGAAAATTCCATCCTGCTGTCTTGCCTTGTTGGAGGGTAAATGGTACGTGTGTGTGTGTGTGTGTGTGTGTGTGTGTGTGTGTGTGTGTGTGTGTGTGTAACCCTGCCCAGGACAGTCTCTGGTCCCCTGGGAATGTGGCTGAGCCCTGGTGACTGTGTTGGGACACCCATCCTGTGTGTGACCTGTGGAACTGAGGCTACAGAGACCCTTCACCACCCAGTAGCACACAGATGGGGGTCTGGAGGAGGTGTCTCCCCCCAAGCCTGTCTTGGAGAGGGTTTCTGCACTTGTTGCTCAGCTGGTTTATCCTTTGTGTGGCTGGAGGGGCTCTGTGTGTGTGTGTGGGGTGTCTCTGGCAGAGTTTGGCTGTGAGTGGTGTTGTGTGTGAGTCTCTGTCTGCTCTGAGATCTCCAGTGCCTGCCCTGGAGCCTTCACTGCTCCCTGCTGCCGTGGGGGAAGGGTCACACCTGCCTTCCTTGTGCCACCAACACCTTGCTGTGTGCAGGCTGCAAGTGCCTGTTTTGTTCAGGGCTGAGTGAGCAGTCCTGGATGATGCTGAGCCTCTCTTGCTGCTGTATCCAGCAGTGCTTTGAGGGGCTTCAAGGCTCTCCCAGCCCATGGAGGGAGAGAGCTGATGCTGAGGCATTGGTGTCCTGAGGCAGGGGGGGTTTGAAGTGAGAGCTGTCCTGATTTAGGAATAGTATTCTCCAATTTAGTGCTCCCACTGAAACTGTGCACCCATCCCCATCCCCAGCAGGGTGCAGAGGGGAATTGCAGGCACAAAAGATGAGGATCAGGGGTTGAGATAAGAGCAATTTACTGGAAACAGCCCTGAGATAGAAAACAGTAAAACAGCAACAATATTAATAACAAAAGTATAAAAAAGAGAGAATGATTCACATGCAGAATGGAGCCCATGACCTGACTGCAGGCCTGCTTCCAGAAGAGAAGAGATGTGTTCTGCCCCTGTGTATCTCAGTGTCAGCAGGGTACATTGTTTGTAAAGCCTTATACTCCTGTGGATCTGCTGTGCCAGCCTTGGACCTGCACTGAGCCCGTTGCTGCTCTCCCCACCTGGCTGGAGCCCCTCTGGCTCTTATGGCACTCACTGCTCACTTCTTGCAGGGGGAGGAAGTGCCCACTGGAAACTGGAGTGGTATTTATTCTTGGAGCATTTCCTGCAGTTGTTTTTCCTCTCAGCTCACACAGCCATGCTGCCAGGGTGGGTTTCCCATCCCACTTGCTCTTGTCCTGCAGGTAAAACCATAGCTTGCCTTGTAGTGTGTCCCCTCTCTCTCAAGAGGGGGACAGTTGCTCCCAACAGCAGAGACTGCTCTGTACCAGTGGCACATGGGACATTTCCTCACTCCATGGGCTGCTCCACAGTCAGTCTTTTTACACAGTTGAGACACAGCTTGGTAGGAAGGAAAAGAGATGATCTTGATCATCAGAGTTGGGGAAGCCACCTTTAAACACTGTTCTCCTGATGCCATCAGTGCCAATGAGCCTGTGCTCTGTACACCCTTCTGCCACACGGACTGTGCACACTGGACCCCCCCTGCATCCACAGGGCACTGCTGGTTATTTGAATCCCTGGGGATTCCCTCTAGCACAGCCCATTCCCTCAGGCACTGGCTGCCTTCTCCGTGGTGTTCCACCTGCTTGGGTGCACTACTCGATCATCCTTGAGGGAATACCTTTCCCTCGAGACAGGAGTTGGCTCCAGAGGCTGGGAGTGTCTGTCCCCAGTCCCCTCATACTGCTCACATCCCAGACAGGGATCCCAGTCCTGGCTTCACTCCCAGCTGGTTCCATAGCGTGGGCTGCTGTATCCCAGTGACCCGACTGGCAGCTGCCATCCCTTCACATCTCAGCTCACCTGGGGATAGGGACTGGGTCATTATCTCCATTATCTCCAGCCCTGCCTCTTCCTCCTGTTGTGAGGGCCCTGCTTCCTCCTTACCCCTCTCTATGCAAACTGATTTGCTCTTGGATTTCTTTTTCTGTATGGGGGTGACTGCTGCCAGCACTGCTTGTTCCCGTGGTTCAGGTGCAGTTTGAGTGGCCAGGGTGCTCTGCTTCCCTCTCCTCCCCCTGAGGGTGCTGTCTGGTGAAAAGCAGTGTCTGATAAATGCTGAGCAGGGCCCAGCACTCTGCAGTGAGTCTCTCCTTGCTGGAGCTGCCACAGCATTCTCCTTGTGAGTGCTCTGTCACTTCTACAGCCTCTTGTTCAGGGGGACACTTCCAAACCACTGGAGGAGAGAATTTCTTCCAAAAGTGGCCCATTTTCTCCCACATTCCATGCCAGTCATGACTAGTCCCCATCAGGGTCAATCTCTGAATAACCTCCTTAGAGATTTCTTTCTTGAATCCAAAGATTATGTGGACTGTACTAAGGAGATCTGGCAAAAATACAATTTCCTTAGCATCCAAAGGGAATTCAGAACCTCAAAAGCTGTTTTAACAGGCCTCAAGGAGGAAGAGAGGGTACAAGACTGGGGGAAATAATCCTCCCCTGTTCCCCCCGTGGGTTGCTCATGCTGGTTATTAATGGACTCCCAAAGGCAGTGCCTGAGGTAAGGGTAGAAGAGCAACACCCAAGACATATCCCAAATGTCTCTCATTGCCCCTGATGTTATCATATCATAAACTGATATCCCACAGTCCATCAGCAGAGCAATCCTGATCCCTGTCCCTGCTGTGAGAAAGAGCACTGTGATGGGAACCTGGAGAAATGGGTACAGGCTTAGGTACCCACATGAGCAGACCAAGTGACATTTTGACCCATGGCTCAGTAGCTAATACAGAAAATGTTTAAATGAAATTTGTTTCCAACCCACTCTGGGCAGATCTGTTGTTATCTCAACCATTCAAGCCCTACCTTGGATGCCAAAAAAAAAAGCTGTTGTGGTTTAGGAATGGTATTAATGTAGTGTTCCCACTACAACTGTGTGCTGCCACAGCCCCCACCTCCTTCCTTCCCCACGGTGGAATGGAGAAGAGAATTGAAGGCACAAAAGGTAAAAACATCACAGGAACAATTGACTGGAAACAGCAGTGAGAGAAGGAAAATTAACAATATTAGTGACAGAAGTGTACAAAAGAGAGCAAATCATGCAAAATGCTCACCAAAGTGCACACTGCCCTGAATGGAAGAGATCCCTTCTCCCTGGAAGAGACTCCCTTCCCCCTGCCCCAGCAATGATGTGAGGTGGCACAGAAGAACCTCTGGGTTCTGGCCACATCCCCTCCTGGCTACTGCAAAAATTAACTCTGTCCTGGCTGGAACCAGGGCAGGGGTGACTGTGATCCCTTAGCTCTGTGTGTCTGTGTGTGTGTGTGTTTAGGTCTTGGTACCTGTGTGGGTTGATGTTTCTCATGCAGAAGAGCATTTTTTGGGTGTTGATCTGGTTTAGCTACCTCACGGTGCAAGCTGGGTGCTGTCGTCATTTGGTTTCATATTGGGGATGGGGTGGGGAGTTTGTGGTGTAAGACTTTGTTTTTCTTTTTCCTCTTAATTATTGTTATTGCTATGGTTTTGACACTTGAATTCATCCTGGGGACAAGTGGCCTCACTCCCACTTTGCTGCATGTCTGAGCCACCCCTTGTGTGTCCCCTCCCTGCCCCCTCCTGGGCAGGGCAGCAGGGCTGGAGTCCCCTGCACTGCCAGCTCCCACCTTTGCAGTGGGATCCCCCAGCAACACCGAGATTTTGCTCCCATTTCCAGTGGGAAGCGTGGTCTGAGGATCTGTGGTGTTGCTGTTGGTTATTTGGCTGATTGGCAGCCTGGATGTGGCTCCCATCTTGTCCCGTGGAAGGGAGGAAAGGGGACTGAAAGGCTCAGCTCAGCCCCCTTTGCTCTCACAGATACTCTCTGTGGATGGGATGGATTTCTCCACTGGGAAATGTCTGTGCAAAGCACATTGCTGGAATGGGCTGGCTCTAGCAGCACTTCCCAGAGCCTGCTGCAGCTGCAGGGCAGCAGGGACTCGGTGCTGTGAAAGCCTCTGCGAGAAGCTGGTTCTGGTGTGTGATGTTTGATTTTTCACTCCCAACAAACGTAGATTCAGTCCCAGGCACTGAACATAAGCGAGGGCAGCCCTGGAGCCCCCAGCTCACCCTGCCTGAGGCTGCCCTGGCACAGGGACACTGGGGAGCTCTGAGCCACACGGTCAGTTTGGGGTGCAGGTCCTCCCAAACAGTAAAGCACAAGGTCCCCATGGGTCTGGGAGGGGTGGCCCCTTGGACTCTGCCCTTCAGATGGGACCACGGGCTGGGACAGCCGAGGAAGAGGAGGAGGAGCACTGGGATGAAGGCTCTCTGCTGTGGGTGAGCTGTTCCATGCCTTTGCACTGTGCTGCTCCCTGGAGCTCAGGGGCATGGCTGCACAACTGAAATCCCCTCTGGTGGTCTCAGAGCCCCTCTGAGAGCCCCTCCAGGGCGAGGACGCTTTGGAGCTGCCTTTGTACCACACACCTCATTTTTCCTTGCCCTTGGGCGCCTTGATTTGTGACAGGGGTGTGATCATACCTGCAATCTTTCCTCAACTTGCTGGGTTATGCTTTTTCCCCCAGGGCCTAATTCTTGCTCTGGGGGTCTCCTCACCCCCAGCACTCAGGAGCCAGCTCCAGCCTCTGCAGAGGGTGCAGGGCTGCCCCATAGCAGAGCTTTGCACATCTGGGGTGAACGAGAGTCAGGAGCCTAAAAGCACTGGATCCTCAAAGCACTGTGAGCCCTCCTGAGCAGTGTCCCCTCCCTGTCACCTACAGCTCTGATGACGCAGGATGGGCTGGCCAGCTGCAGTAATGGCAGCTCTGGGGTCCCATCCTGTCCCCCCCAGGTGCATTGTTCCTCCCCACCTCTGAGCACAGCTGCTTTGGGGTCTCAGTTGCTGCCTCCTGCCTTGGTGCCACAAATCCAGTGCCTGCTTCCCACGGTGCTCCCCCAGTGCCCCACACCTTCCCCTGCCCCACACTGGAAAGAGTCCAGGTACGATCCCTGCCAAGCACAGAGCTCCAGCTTGCTTTCCACAGGCTCCCTGGAGCTTCACTGTCTCTTGCAGGCTGCATGTCCTTCAGAGCCCCCCCTCACCCTTCTGGGAAGGGCCGAGGACCCCCAGCCCCTCCAGGTGCTGCGTGGTGCTCCAGCTGTAACTGGGACAGAGGCCAGCACAGACCCAACTCCCAGTACAGCCCTGCACCTTCCTCCTGCCCCAGGGCTTGTCCCCTCATCCATCACAGCTCTGCCCCGCTTCCTCCCAATTGCTCCTCCTGGCCTGGGACCCCCAGGTCCAGCCCCACAAGGCTGGGGCAGCTGCAGCACTGTGTCACCTGCTCCGTCACTCCTTTCCGCACAAGGAGCACAACAGCAGATGCCTTTTCACACTCGGAGCTTTATCCAGAGGCCAGCTGCTCTGAAGGCTGGTGTTGTCTCTGTGGGGGTTGTGCAGCCCAGCCCGGGTCTGGGTTTGTCAGAGCACGAGGTGTGTGCGTGTGTTTTATACCTTGCTGTGTTCCTGTAAATAGTGTAAGTTATTGTGGTCTCCTGCTGTACGTTTTTCAATGGCTGTGTTTGTTTCTTGCCTTTTTGTCTTTGCAAATAAAACGTTCTTGACATGAAGGGACAGAGCACAGAGGTGGCTTTGAGGAGGGGAAGGGCACAGCCAGGAGTCTCCCATCCCCTCCTGTTCCCATGTGTGTGGTCCAGGGGCTCGGGGATGGATGGGGAGGGGGGATGTGGCTGCAGCCCTTCTGGCTGATGGAGTGGAAAGTGTTCCATCCCCATGATGGGATTACATGTGGTGGCCCTTAAAGGTCCCTTCCACCCCAAACCATTCTGTGATTCTATAATCCCGTTGGATGGGAGAAGATTGGACAAGAGGAAACACTCTCAGGTTGTTCCAAGGGAGGTTCAGGTCAGATGTTGGGGGGAAATTTCTGCACCAAAAGGGTGATCAGGCCTTGGCACAGACTGTCCAGGTGGAGTCACCATCCCTGGGAGTGTTTGAAAGTGTGGCTGTGGCACTTGGGGACATGATTTCATGGTGAACATGGCAGTGCTGGGGTTGGACTCGATGATCTTAGCTTAGGTTCAGGGGCTGAGGTGGAGGAAGGTTCAGGGGCTGAGGTGGAGGAAGGTTCAGGGGCTGAGGAGGAGGAAGCCCGGGCTCAGCCCGGCTGGGCTGCCCCTCTTCTGGTGAGGAGGAGGAGGAGGAAGGTGCAGCACCAACCCTTGCAGGTGTCAGAGCATCCTGAGCCTGCAGCATCGCAACAATTCGGGAGGGGAGGGGAGGGG